AATAAAACAAAGAATAAGGGCAGCTGCCAAAACACAGGCCTCTGTGTTTCCAGAGAGAAAGAGAGAGTCCCCAAAGTGGGGGGACTGAAACAAAGTGAGTTGTGGGGTTATCTGGGGAACACAAAGATCTGTAGGGAGAGGAGACAAAGAAATGCATTTCTAGAAGGCGATGAACACATCTAAGACCCTGGACACAGTGAAAGCATGCTTTTTTGCACCCAATTATTTTTAAAAAAAGTATGTTCTTCTTTTGCAGGCTATGCTGAAGAGATAAAGGCAAGAATGTGAGATGAGGAAGAGTAATCATTTGTTCAGTGCTGAAGCAAGGAGAAGGCTACAGTCTCCCTCTCGGAAGGCAGACATCTTTTTCTGCCTTTGGTTGAGAAATTCTGCTGTATCGTCTGGACCCGTGAGTGCCTTCGCTCTCAACCCCTTGTATTCCCGCCCATCTTATGGGCTCATTATGATGCCAGTCAAAAGACATTGTGCACTTGTTTGCTAATTGATTTTTCTTCTCTCTCTCTCTCTCTCTCTCTCTCTTTTTAAAGAGAAAGATGGAGAAAGCAATGAGAAGACATGGGGTGGGGGGTTGACACAAGAGAGAGATCTTTGGATTGAAGCAGGACATTTTGGATTTTTAGAATAGGGGTAACAAGAGTCAACAATAGCTGGGAAGCCACTGTGTCATGGGAAAGGGAAGCATGACCATCTGAAGAAGGCCCAGGGAGTGGGAATTATGCCCTAGAATCTGAAGGCCTAATCTCTGTGATAAAGCTTCCTGACTCAACTAATCTTCCCATCTGGCCTGCTGTGACCTTTGTTCTTGAGACCAATAGTTATGGGAAATGGCTAGAGAGAATGCTCAAGAGTCCCAGAGGGGAGTATAATGATATGATATTGAGACTTGTGACTATATGTATAAATTAACACACACACATGTGCATTGTATTCAGATCTGGGTGCCCTCTTTGACTTTCTGTTTGGGTCACTTCTTTCTTTCTTTCTTTCTTTCTTTCTTTCTTTCTTTCTTTCTTTCTTTCTTTCTTTCTTTCTTTCTTTCTTTCTTTCTTTCTTTTTTTCCTCCCTCCCTCCCTTTTTACAAAGCAAAGTGTAAGTGGCCAGGTAGGTTTCCTGCGGTGCAAGAAGGAATGAGAAGATAGGAAGAACAATAAGATTTCCAAAACCAGAGGATGGTATGTAATTTGGATCAAACAAGGATGCCTGCCTGCTCTAAATCTTGCATGATCACTCTGCAGCCTTGCTTCCTCATGCCATTCTTATCTAGAAGGAACTGGATCCTTCTCTTAAGCAGTTGAGCGAGTTTCAGAAAGGTTTGCACCATTTTCTTCCAGTAAAGTGCTCCCATCCCCCTTCTTTCGTACTCATCCGAATAATTCTTCCCTCTTCTTTTCAGTTTGCCACGAGTTACATGTTCCCTTACATGTTGATGAGATCTACAGGCAGCTGGTCCAGATTTCTTTTCTGGATCACATGACATGCCTAGGCTGCGATATCACCCGGGATATCAATCTGTCCACAATTCCGCAGCTTGCGTCCTCCCTTCCTCCTTGCAACTGTTTTATCTATGGAAAAGCACTTAAACGATCAGCCCACAAATCTTAAGCTGTGAGGGTGCTTCCCACATTGATCCCGAGGAGCTTGGTTTGGTTCTCCTTCCTTTTAACAGAAGTCACATGCTGGCATGCATTCCTTTAACATTAATGCTTCCTTTGGGACTCAGACGTTACCGAAATATGAGACGAGAGCCTGCATGTGGCAGACGTTCTGGAGAAGCCAGCTGTGAGTTTGCTCTATGTGCATAGAAAGAAGGAGCTTAAAAAAAAAGAAGTTAAATGGAGGGGAATAAAATGTGCAGTCCATCTTCACAGGATATGGCTGACACGTCGATATTTGTGATCTGGTTTTGGCAAAGCAAGGTTACACTCCTTGTTAGCTTGAGGGTTCAGCTAGATCAGCATCAACCAAATAGGGAGGAATGATAGGGTGAATGTGAATATGACAGTTTCAGCCCCGGAGGTGGTATGCAACCTGTAATATTTAAGGGCATCAAGCTTTAAAATTACATGTTCCCATTTGTTCTATTACAAATACCTATATAGGAACCATTTCAGATTAATAAGCTTTCTTCAGGTGGGGGGAATTTTATGTACATTTTGTTTTTGGCTTCTTGTGTTTAGAAATATTGAACGTACTTTTCTTGGAAGAGCATGAAAATCCAGACATCTGCAGAATGTCTTTTTTACCCTTGCTAGTTTCACCCTGCAATGTCCTTTAGAAGGACATCAAAGCATTGATTTTTGCAGAATCTGATTCTAAATTTCTAAGCAGTAATTTCCCCCCGTTTGGACTGAGCCATTTTGCCCAGCTTAAAGTGACAATTGGCATTGTGTTGCACGTCTTTTTTTCATGGCGGGAAAGGCATTTTCTGAATAAGCCCATCAGGTTCTCAATTATTCCTGTAATGAAAAACAGCAAGTTTCAGAAGGGTATCGCCCACCAAAAACCCTTTCGTTCCTATGTATCTCCTGCACACCAGAGTCTAAACTTTACAAAGCTATTGCTCCAGAAATGGTCCAGCATCAAGCACATGCCCTTGATTTGAGGAGGATCTGCATGTTTAATATTTATTTTTAAGGTTCACACACACGCTGGCTTTTGGTCAGTTCTCCTCTCACCTACAATCACTTGCTCCTTTTTGACATGTTGTGTTAGTGGTGTCAGGAGCTCTGGACTTTGCCTCTGAGTCTGAATCCTAGCTGGGCCACTGAGTCTAGCAGTCAAATGAGTACACCACATTGCCTCAAATGTGGAAGTTGTGGTTTTGGACTACAACTTCCAGAATCCTTCAACCAGGATGAGCAGTACTGGCGGAGATATTCTGGATGTTGTATGTACTGCTTTCCCCCATCCCTTTGCTAGGTTTCGACATGTGACCTTTTCACCTTGCATATTCTGGACAGTTTCATCACTTATTTTCTCATTTCCGGAAAAGGACAGTGGGTTCAAAAATTTCACATACTGTACCTCTTTTAATCATGGTGCATCTATTCATATCAGTAAAAAATGCACCTTAACTCCTTAATGGTAGCATGGGGAAGAGTTAACTTCCTGGTTTTTCCAGGTTTGCAGTCATTCTGAATTTAGAAAGAGACCAGCTGGAATGCACAAATTATGGGCTTGTGTTGACGAATGTCGGTTGAAATAACTTGTTGACTGGTAATGCAATTCTTTCCTTTTCGCACAACGCAGAGGCGAAACTGTATCCACTGTGAATTTCAGGGCCCTTCACCATTGACTTCTGAAGTACAGTAGCTCACTCCGAAGATGTGTAGTTTCCTAATACAGTAGTTTAATTGTTCTTTCTGATGGATTTTTGTTTGCTTGCTTGTTTAATGTGAAGGAGGCCGGAGAAATATGTTTGTATGCCATGGTTAAAAAATGAGCAGATCACATGGAAGGGCTAAAAAATCAGTTGATGCTGTTTTTAATTCCAAAATAAAGACTTTTGTTTAGCTCTACCGCTTTGCAAAAGGAAAGGGAACAGGGTTGCTATTGTTAGCACATATGCGGAAACAAAAAGATTTTGCTGTATGTGGTTCGGGCTACTTGTTTGTCAAAAACAGACCAGAGAAATCCTGAAAGATGGGGTATAGATTTCACCGAAAATTAAGTTCCTTTGTGGCTCAAAAGGTGTTAAAACCAGGTTTTCATGCCTTGTGTGAGATAAAAATGCATGATGACAGACATGCAGAGAAGCAGTTCTGAGGTTAAGGGGAGAACTCTTTTTGAGGTGGGCTTTTTGTTTTACAGCTTCCAAAATCTTTTGTATTATCCTTATTGTTTTAATCCTGGTTTTTCCCTTTAAGCATGGTCCTAAGGGTAGGCCAGCTCATCTATAGGTCTTGCTAAATTGGAACTGCTCTCTACCATGACAAGATTGCAACCTCAAAGAAAAATAGAGATTATTATGATCATTATTTATTAGAAGCTGACAGTATGAGTTCTATCAGAACTGGCCCTTCCTCAGCAAGGTCCAACTCTGGCATCACTACTGCCTTTCAAGTCTGCAAACCCCAAGTTATTTATTTTTATTCTAAGCAAACGCTTGAAATCCATTTGCATAGCCCCTCAGTCCACCTATTGAGTCCATTTCCATTCTTCCCTAAATATGACGGAACTCAATGAATCCATTGTTGGCCCTTTTGAGCCCGAGGGACTTTTCCACCCTTTGTGCGGTTCTGTTTTTGTGTGTTTTATTTTAATTCTATGAATGCGGCTTGTGTTCAAGGCAGCAGAAAGATATGTAAAACTCTGAAAGAGAGGGAGAGAAATCTTTTAAATCCTTTCCTTTTCAGTCCCCTGAAGAAGTTCAGCTAGGGAAACAAACGGAAAACCCAGCAAAACCAAAATATCAGGGAGCCTTGGGACTTCAAAGTGCCATGATACAGTACTTTTGTTTGCGATTTTTATATATGTGTGTGGGGGGTGTTTTTTTTTTCGGAAACAGACGAGATTTTTACCCATGCCTTAAAAAAACAACACCTCAAACAAAAACACTGTGGCGTTTTGAGGCCCAAAGGTCCCACAAGCCTTTAGTTTTGCTGGGATTAAGCGAGCGAGCGAGCGCGCCTTTTCGCGCCTCGTCTGAGGTAAAAATGTACGACGACGACGGACGCCAAGAAGCCCCCTTTATGAAGCGAAAGCGGGGACGAGGACTCCCCTCCCCCCTCCTTCCCTCGCGCGCGAAACAGCGAAGCGCGCTCGTGGGCGCGCGCCCCCGTCCCACAAGCCTTTAGTTTTGCTGGGATTAAGCGAGCGAGCGAGCGCGCCTTTTCGCGCCTCGTCTGAGGTAAAAATGTACGACGACGACGGACGCCAAGAAGCCCCCTTTATGAAGCGAAAGCGGGGACGAGGACTCCCCTCCCCCCTCCTTCCCTCGCGCGCGAAACAGCGAAGCGCGCTCGTGGGCGCGCGCCCCCCCTCCGTGGACGGTCTTGGCTGGGGCGGAGGGGCGGCCCCGGTTGGGTGCCCGTGAAGTGAGCAAGGCCTGAGGAGCCGCCGCGAGGAAGGGCGCCTCCATTTCCCTCACAGGTAAGAAGGAGCCGAGTTTGAGGGGGGGGGATTTTCTGATCTGAGGAGAGGCGGAAGGGGATGAGGAAGAGGAGGAGGGAGGCCTCTTCGGGCCCCCTTTTTGCCCCTCTGGGGTTGGGGGGGTGTCCCTCGAGTCACGCCCCTCTTTTCCTTCCCACCCCCACGTCAGACCTTTGGGCTTTACCCTCCCTCGCCCCCCCCCCCCACAA